CGGGGCCGGGGATCGGGGCCGGGGATCGGGGCCGGACGGACGGGGGCCGGGGTCCCCACACCCGGGGTCTACTTCCAGGGAAAGTCGGGGTCTCCACATCCGGGATCTCCTTCCAGATGGGGACTGGGGTCCCCAACCCGGGGTCTACTTCCAGGGAAAGTTGGGGTCTCCACATCCGGGGCTCACGTCCAGATGAGGGCCGGGGTCCCCACATCCGGGGTCTATTTACAGATGAGGGTCAGGGTCCCCAACCCGAGGTCTACTCCCCCAGGGAGGGCCGGGGTCTCCACAGCCGAGGCCCATTTCCACATGGGGTCCCCGAAATCCGGGCTGTACTTCCACGTGGGGGCCGGGGTCCCCACATCCGGGATCTACTTCCAGGTGGGGTCGGGTCTGGGGTCCCCGAAGCCGGGGCCCGCTTCCAGCTGGGGTCGGGGAGAGAGGTCCCCAAAATCCGGGGTCCTACAGCTACGTGCAGTGGGCCTCTTTCTTGTGGGGGGTCTTGAACTCAGGGCCTGGGCGCTGTCCCTGAGCTTTTTCACTCCAGGCAGGCGCTCTACCCCTCGAGCCACAGCGCCACCTGCGGCTTTGTGTTGGTTCACTGGAGATCAGAGTCTCACGGACTTCCCTGCCCAGGCTGGCTTTGAACCCCGATCCTCCGATCTCAGCCTCCCGAGTAGCCGGGAGGACAGGCTGGCGCTCCAGCACCAGCCGGGCATTAGTGGGTGGGTGACTCGTTTGTCGGGCCAGCTCCACCCTGTCTGGGAATCCAAGGCAGTTTAGGGGGAATCAGACCCCACCAAAGGAATGAGGCATCTGTGTCTGGGGCAGGGGGGCTGAGGGGCGCCTTCTCTTCTTGGGGTTCCCCGACAGGACATTTTGCCATCAGCTACCAGGGGTGCCTACGTGGCTAGGGATGGGCAGGACCGATCACTCCCTGGGTCCTAGAGACCTGTGGATTTTGTCTCCCTCCCTAGCACATACAGTGATTTTTGTTGTGGTTGGTCGTGGGACTTGAACTCAGAGCCTGGGCGCTGTCCCTCCGCCCTTCAGCTCAAGGCTGGCGCTCTACCACTTGAGCCGCAGCACCACTTCTGGTTTTCTGGTGGTTCCCTGGAAATCAGAGTCTCATGGACTGTCCTACCTGGGCTGGCTTTGAACTGCGGTCCTCAGATTTCAGCCTCCAGGGTGGCTGGGATGACAGGCGTGCACCACCAGTGGCCGGCTCATTTCTTGCTTTTTATGTCAGTCCTGGGGCTTGAACTCGGGGCCTGGGCCGCTGTCCCTGAGCTTTTTTATTTCTTTTCCTTCGAGCCTGGCGCTCTACCCCTTGAGCCACGCCTCCACCTCCAGCTTCTCCAGGTTCACTGGAGATCAGTCGCCCACATTTGTCTGTCCTGGGCTGGCTTTGAAGCGGGATGCTCAGATCGTGAGCCGTCCTGAGTGGCCGGGATTACAGGGGTGACTATTAGTGCTTGGCTCACCAGTGAGATGGGGTGTCGAGGCTGATACCTCCACCCTGGAGGGGGGGAGGAAGGGGGCTCTGACACCCCGTTCCCTCTGTCCTCAGTTGAAGAAGTTAGACCTGGCGGCCGCTGCGGCTCACACCTTCTTTGTAGCAAACCCAGACCACTTGCAGATGAGAGAGGACATGGCAAAGTATAGACGCATGTCTGGGGTTCGGCCTCAGAGTTTCCGGGACCTTGAGACACCCCTGCATTGGGTAAGAACCCTACCCTCAACCCCACCCCCCATCTTGCCCATACCCTTTGAATAGGGCTCTGTATGGTGTGACTACCTGTCCCCACCTACGATCTTTTTCTTTGTCCGCTGGTGCCGAGACTTGAACTCAGGGCCCTCACTTGACTTTTTCCATTCAAGGCTTGTGGGCTGCCGCTTGAGCCACCGCTGCGCTTGTAGCTTTATTTTTTGCTGGCAAGAAGAGTCTCAGAGACTTTTCTTCCTGGGTTGACTTGGAACCCCGATCTTCACATCTCCAGCTCCTGCGTAGCTGGGATGACAGGCGGGTGCTACGCTGCTCTTTTCTACTTCCCATCCTCCTTTGGCCCCCTCTCCTAGATCGCTGATGCCTCCCTCCTTCCCCCTCCTCCTCCAGGCGGCCTATGATGCCAGCCTGGAGCTGGTGGAGCGCCAGGAAGCGGGGCTGGCACTGCCCAGGCTGGAGGAGGCCCTGCAGGAGACCCTAGCTCAATTGGAGACCTGCCGCGCTGGCTGCCAGGGGCCTGAAGAGCAACAGGAAGAGGAGGAAGAGGAGAAGAAGGAAGATGAAGAAGGGGCCGGGGGTCCCGGGGGCCTCTACGAAGCCGTTGCGGGTGAAGGACCAGCACGGGGTCTGGGATTACAGGCGTGAGCCACTGCGCCCAGTCTCAGGCTGATCGCTTGGCGTGTGTTTTGCAGGGCACTGGATTCGGGTCCTGCTGTGCCGACAGCGCTGTGTGGCGGACACGGCCACCCGCCCCGGGCGCAGCCATCCTGTTCCTGACTTCCTTCCTAACCAGCTAAGGAGGCTACACCAGGCACACGCTCAGGGTTGGTTGGGTAGACACTGGGAGGGACTGGCATAAGCAGATCAAAGCTCTGTGTGTGTGTGTGTGTGTGTGTGTGTGTGTGTGTGTGGACTGGGGCTTGAACTCAGCGCCTTACGTACTGGCTCTTGAACTGCGATGCTCAGATCTCAGCCTTCCAAGTAGCTGGGATTACAGGCAGCACCACCGGTGCCCGGCAGTTGGAGGTTCTTGAGATGATTCTCTCCGCAGCTGCGTCTGTCCCTCTTGTCTGTCTCTGTCTCCAGTGGGAAATCTGTCTGAGGCTGTGGAAAATGTCCTGAGCGTTCTGCTCTTCTACCCGGATGACGAGGCCGCCAAACAAGCTCTGAGCCAGTACCAAGCTGAGCTCGGGGAGCCCAGACCAGGCCTTGGACCCAGGGAGGTAACCACCATCCTCCCATAGTCCCATGGGGCAGGCCTAGTTCAAAACCACACACCTGAGAAGCAACATGGACACCAAAGGGACCCAGGTTCAAGTGCGATCTCTCTTTCCATGCCTTTGTGGTGTGTCAGTCTTGGGTCTTGAACTCTGGGCCTGGGCACTGTCCCTGAGCTCTTCTGCTCAAGGCTAGTGCTCTACCGCTTTGAATCATGGCACCACTTCCGGTTTTCTGGTGGTTCACTAGAAATGAGAGTGTCCTTCCTGGCCTGGCCTCAAACTACGATCCTCCCGCCTCAGCCTCCTGAGTAGCTGGGGTGACAGGCCTGAGCCACCAGTGCTGGGCTTGATCCATGCCTTTTTTTTGCTTTCGTTATTATTATCTTTTTGTGGATGTGCTGGCCCTGGGGTTTGAATTCAGAGCCTGGGCATTGTTCCTTTTTTGCCCAAGATTGGCACTCTAGCTGGGTGCTGGCGGCTCACGTGGTTTAAAGCCAGCCTGGGTAGAAAAGTCTGTGAAGTGACGTTATGTCTCAAAAGGTAGAGCGCCAGCCTTGAGCACAAAGAGGCTCAGGAACAGCGCCCAGGCCCTGAGTTCAAGCCCCACAACTGACAAAAAAAACAAACAAACTGGCACTCTACCACTTGAGCCATGCCTCTACTTCTGGCTTTTTGCTGGTTCATTGGGGATAAGAGTCTCATGGATTTTCCTGCCTGGATTAACTTTAAATCAGAATTCTCACATCCCAGCTTCCTGAGTCGTTAGGATTACAGGTGTGAGCCACCAATACCTGGCACTATTAGTATCATTATTATCAATTTTTAATTATCTCCAATATAAAAATTAGCATCAATTAGTTGCACAAGGGACTTTTTTTCCTTTTTGGTCGGTTGTGGGGCTTGAACTCTGGGCCTGGGCGCTGTCCCTCAGCTCTTCAGCTCAAGGCTGGCTCTCTACCACTTTGAGCCACAGCACTTCCAGTTTTCTGGTGGTTCCCTGGAGATCAGAGTCTCATGGACTTTCCTGCCCGGGTTGGCTTTGAACCGCGATCCTCAGATCTCAGTCTCCTGAGTAGTTGCGATGACAGGCGTGAGCCACTGGCGCCCAGCAAGAGCATGTCTATAGATGCCTGTAATGTAGTTTGATCAGACTCACCAACTCTTGTCACTCTCCTCCCTCTTCCCTGTACCCCGACTTTATTTTGGGGATAGGGTCTCATGTTTATATCTGAGACATCCTGGACTCTGACCAATTTGCACTTTCCCTGTATCTAGGGATTACACGCGTGTGCTACCATGCCCAGCCATTTTTGGTGCAGATGGGATCTTGTTCTTTGCCCGAGCTGGCCTCAAACCACAAACCTGCCAGTTTTCATCCAGCTGGGGTTACAGGCGTGAGCCACGAAACTTGGCCCACACACATTTTCTGTTACACTTGTTTCCTCATTGGAGCCTAGCTGCTGTGGAAGTTGAGCGACTGAAAGAGGCTCATTGAAAGGTTTGGGGGGCTTCCGTGGCTCCCTAGAACCTGGGGCGACCTGCCTGCCTCTGCTTTGACCTGCCTTCTCCTGGTGCCCCCCCCTCCCGCCCCTCTTTTCCTGACTGCTCACCTTGCTATGTTCAGGATATCCAGAACTTCGTCCTTCGGTCCCTGGGGGAGAAGAGACAGCTTTACTACGCCATGGAACATCTTGGTGTCAATTTCCAGGACCCTGTGAGTAGCTCTACAGTTGTCTCAGGAGGAGGAACACTAATCCCCCTCCCCCCCCCCCCCCCAGTGCTGGAGGCTGCCATCTAGAGGATCGTGGCTTGAGGCCAGATTAGGCAGCAAAGTTCATTAAAAAAAAAATCCATCTCTAATGAGCTAAATGCTGGGCTGGCGGTGTGATTCGAGGGGAAGAGTGCCAGTGTGAGCAAGAAAAGCTGGGTGAGAGCTTGAGGCTTTGATTTCACACCTTGATACCAGTCACACACACACACACACACACACACACACACACACACACCCCAAAAAACCCTGTGAGGCTCATTTAAATCCTACCTTGACCTCACTAGCTGTGTGATCTTCACCTTGTTGCTTGGCCTTTCTGTGTCTCTGGATAAAATGAGCACATGGCTACCCATTGTGTGACTATTGGGAGGTGTGTGTGTGTGTGTGCACACGTGCGTGCGTGCCTGCGTGCATGTGTGCATGTGTGCTGGTCCTGGGCTTGGGCTCAGGGTCTGGGTACCGTCCCTGAGCTTTCTCACTCAAAGCTGACACTCTACCCCTTGAGACCCACCCCGCATCTGGCTTTGATGCTTTATTGGGAATGAGTCGTGTCTGCCGGCTGGCTCAGATCTCAGCCTTCTGCGTAGCTGGGATGGCAGACGGGAGCTTCTGGTGCTGGAGAAGTTGCCTTTACTGCCTGTGATTGCCCGCTGCTGCACCGACGGACCCTGTTCCCCCTCCCTCCCCCGCCCGCCCCCAG